ATTTTAAAAAGCAGTTAAAACTACAACCCCTGCTGAAAAGCATTGTGTCCTGCCAGTTTCATTTGTTGGAAGTTTCATTAAATGTATTTTAATGCTTTGTCTAGTTTTGGTGTTCTTGGGTGACGTGATTTTTAAAAGAAACATAATTTCAGATGCCCTGAATAAATCATTACTACAATAAACTCCTTGTTAGGGAAAAATAATGAGACTCAAGAATACTCCGACTCGTAGAAAAAGTAGTGATGACTTCCTTCTTAATTCCCTGTATTCAGTGAAGCACTGAATTACCTTCAAACATGTTATCATCATGGCGTTGCAGTAATAAAAAGAAAATCAAACACCCTGCTAAACAGTATTTCACAGTACAGGAGAGTAAAAATTAAGAGGAAGTTAAATATTTTGATCATTTGTGATAAAGAACTTACATGATATCATTAATGTAAAACAGTTCTGTGAAGCAAGTTTTAAATAACTGGAGCCAAAATTCTACAGGTTAAGATTTCAAACTCACACATTCAGTCTTTGGCAAAAATTAAAGTGATTTTCTTTCTGCCAAATAGAAAGGCAACCCAATATATGTAGCTACATTCTTGCCTAAAATTTCCTTTTAAATACGATGTTTAGTGTTGAAGGCAGTATTCATGTGTATGTAAATATATATATTATGTGTATGTACATATATATATGCCTGTACATAATACACACACATATATATCTATGGAAGTGGCAGGTATGGCTGTTTTCCTACTGAGTTTCAAATGATGTTGAAGGTTTTGCTGAAACAAATATTTACAAACCAAGACACAGGCTGCTCTGCACCTGCAGGTCTCATAATTTCACCAAAAATCGATCACATATATATACACATCGGCCAGCCAGTGTTTTTAAGACTGGGCCCTCTCTATACTGTCAGTTCTCTGCTCCCAAACAGGGAACTACTTCAAGATTTTCACAGAAAATGAAAATTAAATTTTTAACCATCAAATGTATGCAGATAAACCAGGCAGTTGATGTTGGTTCAGTTAAACTCCGGGGTATGTTTTATTTTATTGTGAACATAAACCATGTTATTTCTGTTTTAATTTGCAGTTCTGTTTCCATGGTAATTATGGCACTGGAGAAAGGGCACAAAGACTTTTTTTACATAGTGGAAAAAATAGAAAACATGGTGTTTGTGCAAGGGGGGTGTGTGTTTGTGTTTTAAATAGTAATTTTCAGAAGCTGCACTTTTTAGTTTTCCTATTTAAATTCAGAAACCTAGACAGGTTTGCACAATGAAAAAAACCGTCTTCAACCAAGTATATTCCACAATATTTTTCAGTCATGTCTCGCCATCAGTACTAGAATCCTAAGCATGGGCACAGTCACTCGTTAGATAGGAGACCTCTAGAGAAAATACAGGAAATTGCAGGATGTTTTATTGCAAGTTAGAAAGAGGCGTCATTTCTTCCTTCTTTCAGTATACACTGATTTTCTAAATATTACAAAGTAAGATATGCAGGGGTGGCATCTTTATGCTAAAAAGAACTGTGGCCACATCCTACCTATAACCACTTTAATTAATTACTGTCCTTATATGTGATAATTGACTGACTTCTAAATGCCACTTACATAAGCTTTCCCCACCCAAAGACTTCAGTCATTTATTTAGACCTTGGCCACATACAGGTGATTTAAATTTTGGCATGGTTGAAGAGGGCTTGCTCTGATGAAGCTGATGGGTTTCTTCCAAAATGAAAATGCGCATGTGAGTTCCCAAATGAAAGGCTGCTTATTTACCATAAAAATACATGCAAAATAGGTAATGGGTTAAGCCAAACTGCACTTTAATCATGTGGCAAAAGTGAAGGGGTAAGGGCTAGGACCGAAAGCCTGCTGAGGTATCTCTGACAGGTTTTGTGCTGGCCGTGGCGTATCTGTCTTACGGAGGTTTTCACCGCCCTTTGGAGGCTGCACACTCATAGTCATCATCACCACTGTATCAGTTACTGCAACAGATAAACTAGAAGCAGGGAAAACAATCACTTCAGGAAAATACTTTTTAACCATCTTTTAAATCAAGCCAGCAGTTACATGTGCAAGGTAAAAGCACCACCACAAATTCTGAAGGCATTCTGGTCGTTAAAGACGAGGTGTTTTCCTCCTCAAGACTAGGCACGTCGGCCAGCACAAGCTGTGTAAGGAATTTGTTTTGCACCGCTGAAGTCATTGATCACATAGGGACCAGGCTGATTTTATATATGAGTCTGGAAAAATCGATCCTGTCTGTATAAATTCCCTTTGCGAAGACATTGTTCTTTCACTTCTTGTCCCGTGTGTCGCCATGTCAACAGTGATATTATTTTTGTGAAGTATTTGTGTATGTCAAATACTCTATGACAGCCAACCCACTGAAACCATAAGTTATTCAGCTGCGATTGTGGTGTATTTGCACTGCCAGTGTTAACAAACGGACAGTTTTTGACAAATTTGCAGATATTTGCCTAGCTTTACATTTGTATTCAAATATTAGATATTATTTTGCACTGAACCAGAAGAAATTTAAACCCAAACAGTGAAATCTCTCTGAAGTGAAGGCATAATATATGTATCAAAGCACCTAAATGCAGGTGTCATGTTTTCCAAACAGCCTCCGCAGTCCTATGGATTTCAGTAGGAATCACAGAATCACAGAATGGTAGGGGTTGGAAGGGACCTCTGTGGGTCATCTAGTCCAACCCCCCTGCCGAAGCAGGGTCACCTACAGCAGGCTGCACAGGACCTTGTCCAGGCGGGTATTGAATATCTCCAGAGAAGGAGACTCCACAACCTCCCCGGGCAGCCTGTTCCAGTGCTCCGTCACGCTCAGAGGGAAGAGGAAGTGGAGTTCCTTTACGAAATCAGTCCTTGGGGAGGGGGGAGCTGGCTGGTTTTACTATGTAAAAGCTACCATAACTGTAGGTACCCCAGTCTGAAAATTCTGGTCTTAGTGAAGTAAGCTATAACATAACAGTAATAACTGTTATTGAATGCATAGAGAAGTAGTTCTGGGGGGAAAAAAAGAACACAGGTCATATAAACTTTACTGTGGGTTTACAAAGGAAATTACTTCCAAAAAGGTCAGGACACAAGGTCAAAAAGAAAAAATCTGTGGTTTTATTATTCATGCCGCCTATCTTCAATTGTGGCAGTTTTTTCACCGTGCCCTTCATCCAAACAATAGATGGAATGGACTTTAAAATAGGGGGAAAAAAAGAAAAAAAGTATTCTCCTGTGCCTGAAGAGCAGAGTTTATTTATTTAACGAAAAGCATAAAAGAAAGGAGAAAGCTCTGCTGCCAAAAGGATAAACATCTTAGGTGATTTAGAAAACTGGAAGGTTTTGTGAATATTCTTGGAGATTTTTATGTTAGAATGTATAATAATATTACTATAGTAATAATAATATTATAGTATCATGCTTATAATTTGCTTTCCTGTAGCATTCAGAGTATCTTAATCACTACTTCTTTTATAATCAGAGACAAATATGTTCTTCATTAGTTCCCTGAGTTGTTCTGCACAGTCTGTTTATGGAGTACTCAGTTTCATGTTTCGGGGCTTATGTACAAGCAGGGTCTATTTAGACTGCACAGCCACGTTCTCCCAACACAAAATATTTACATCAAGATTAGAAAAAGATGGTGTGATCTTTCTGCAGAAAACACTGTCCTTTCCCTGTGCTTGGCAAATTCTTTTTTATTTAAAAAAACCCAACCCTGTTTACCTTGGATCTGAGCAGCACTGCATACTTTTGAATATTTATAATTACTAAATTTTAGTGGCAGAGAATTTGATCTTTAAAAGCTTTTATAGCTGCATTTCAAATTAGTAAAGTGCTTTAGGATATTTGCAATGATAGGATCTTTTCAAACAACTCTCGTGTTTTAGTAGTTACTCCCAAGACTAAAATTTCAATTTTATCATAAGCACGGACCTCAGTACAATGGAAATTTTTATCTCAGTCAGAAACATTGTAACAGAAATGAAATAAAATTTGAAATAATTTAATTTTTTTTTGCATGTTTTGGTGTATAATACCAAAGTAAAGTTGCAACTGAAAATGTGTCTAATTCTGGAGACATCTGGGCAAGCTAGTCTCAAAATTCTCTCTGCTCTTATAAATATGGCTTCAGAATTGTTCAGTTAACTGTCAGAAAAAGAAAATATTTTGAATGGGAAGAAAATAGCTTTCTTTTCTTTTAAGCTGCTGTTAACCATAATAGTTTTTGCTTCACAGAACTACAAATGAATACAAATATATGCTTTCACAGCCATTCTGATCACGGCAAGTGGGATACAAGAGTTATGGAACATCATAATGAAATACTTCAAAATTCTTTTGTAAGCATGAAGATTTCACTTATTGCTACAAAAGCATGTGCTTGTACAAGTTTAAAAAAACCATATTTTAAACATTTCTTTATTTTTCATATGAATCTCCAATGTGTTATCATTAAATCAGTGGCAAAATTCGTATAGCAGTAAAAATGCAGTATCAAAGATCCTGTCGTATTTTAAAATTTAACTTATTTAAATCTTTATTCTAAATTCTAGCTATTTGAACATAGTTGTTTAAGGTGATATTAGACCAAAATTGACTAATTATCCAACCGCTAACAATAGTTTTTGTTTCCCATCTCACTCACACTTTGATATTTCACTCCCTCTATTTGTGTGGCTAAATTCACTCCAGCTCCCACCACGCTGTAAGCTAAGTTATCCAGGCACGGCTGAGGAGTGCTCACATAGCTTCTGCCGCTGGAAAGCTAACGGGACGCTAACCTCTGGCAAAGGATGGGAAACAGACACTTCAGGAGGACTGGCATCTTCCATACCTGAAGCGAGTTTGTGTTGTAGCTCTTGTCCTGCCACAATTATAAGGCAAAGTCACTCAACTTAACTCCAGCGAAAGGGTTTAAATGATTGTGGTTTAAGTCACAGCTGAAGCAGACAGAGAATGCATGCTCAGATATTTACAGTAAGTTAGGTGGCAAGTTCCTGAATTGATGCAACTTGGGAATGCTTAATCTTATGCCCATAACTTGGTGTAAAACCAAATAAAATAAAATATCTTGGCTTTGCTGTGATGGCTTTGAGTTTTAACTGGGTTTCATACTTTGATTTTTTTTTTCTCTTTTAGAACTTTCCAAAAGAAAGATGCGTGGGAAATGGTACATCAACAGGCTGCAATGATCACAGCCAGTGGATATCACAGAAACCGTAATCCTGCTTTATATGGCCCAGGCAATATCACGGGTTCAAAAAGTGATAGCAATTTATCTTCTTATACACTTGACAGAGGTTGTGAAAAGAAAATGGATGATAAATCTCCATCCCCACCAATGGGGTATCCTTTGGGCTTTGATAGGCTGTTCCCTGAAAGGGGCAGAACAGGCAGCTTACTGAGCCCTGCTTACAACATAGAAGAAACTGAATTATCTGTAAGTAACTATTTTCCTGTAACATAGATATATTCTCAAAGATCCATCTGTGGACCAAATGCAGCCTCGGAAGGAGCCAAAAATTAGTTCACCCTGTTGTCATTATTATTTATACAGTGCCAGTCCAGCAAAAAATGTAAATACCTTATCGTAACATAAATGCTGTTTTTCTGGAGATTAGACATCCCCTACTGGGCCATACCTCTGTGCTAATAATGATGGTGATAATTACCTGCCATTACGTGACTGTGAGACAGACTTCTACATTTAGCTCGTTGCTAATTGCCATTCTATATTGGGGCACTCTGCTTCGTATTGCTTTCCGTAAGGGCACTCTGCTTTAAGTGTATTTCCATAATGCCTACAAATTTACTGCCTTAAGTGCTGTTAGACAGATCAAGTTTCTACAGCCTTTGATTGATGGATGAAATTAGAGGAATTGCTGCAACTATTTTTGATGTGTTAGCTGTTGTATTTGAAAAGTAACAGAAATGATAACTGCTATAATCCTTATTTTTCTTGAAATGAAAGAGTAATAGTGCAGCATTCTTTCTTTCAGTATTCATAGGCTGGAGATTACCAACCTCCATGACAAGCAGGATAAATCCACTTTGCCTAGGGCAACTTGTTAGGAAAAACTTTCTATAATTCTTTGACTTTAGATCTCTCTTTAAATTGGAGCTTCATCCTCTTCCTTAGAAGCTTCTGTTCTTCCTTAGGCCTCCACTGCAGGCCACTATTTTTTCCACCTGAAAACTTAGCACTTATTTTCCAGACCTCAAACCGTGCAACTGCACCATCATTAAAGAACAGCACTAACAGATCGGTAAGGAACGGAGGGTAGCCGTCTCTCTGTCCCGCTGTGACACGTGCATCTTTGTACCAAGGAGATCCTGAGCTGCAGGTCTGTGGCTGAGTCCGCAGAGAGAGAAGAGGGAAGACTTCAGCGTTTACTGGGGGGAGACAATAGGCAATTTTCTTGCCACTCATCACCTTAAGTAGGAGCGAAGAGGCATCACAACACCAACAATCGTCTTCAAGCAGTTCGTGGTTGTTGTACCCCAGTTCTGCTGTCCACTTCAGAAATGGGCGCACATCCCTTCCCTTTGGAGACGTGGCTGCTGGAGGACTGTCTTCATAGTCCCGAATCTCGCCGTAGGTAGGCAGCACCATAGCGACGGCCTGCCGGGGAAGCAGGGATTGCAGCGCGGCCCCTCACTGACCATGGCGCCAGAAGTGGTGCCCCAGGTAGTCAGAGAACAGGGAGAAAACCACATAGTCCGGGGTGTTTGACCTCACTTCCATTTTTCTGTTCTACGCTTCACACTGATTTTAAGTAAATGGCCATTGGTTTCTCATGGCTTTGGAGTCTTCATCTTTAAACTACTAATTGTGAAAAGAATTGTTTGGACTTTTTCAGGAGAGTCTGATAAACACAGTTCCCTCCCTCTCTTCTATCAGAAGTGTCAGACAGAGACACCAGACCACAAAGCTGCTGTTTCTAGCCAGCCCAGGGAAAATGTCCATTCTGAGACACCTTCGCAAGCTGCAGGGAAACTATTTCCCAGCTGGCCCTCAGGACAGGGTCGATGCCAAGACAGTTGACTAGATTATAAGGAAAACACTTTCCAGCTGGTGTGTGGGCAAAGTACATAATGAAACTGTTAAGCAAGGGATAATTTTCATACAGTGTCTAAGTCCAAATCAGTGGCATCAAAGCAGGTACAAGTTCAAAAGATCGCCAAAATTAAATCATCGCTCAGAATGACCTTGGATACCACAGCCTAGTGCAGAGATGATTCAACAGTCCGTTGCTTTAGAGCTCAGTGTTCAAATGGAAAGCCATTGCATCAAGGACAAAGAAAAAAAGACCATACAACCTGCTGTAAACCAGAGTTCTTTCATAGAGTTTTCAGGACTGACGTTTCACCTAAGTGAAATCTCCAGTACGTGCAAAACTTTTGGAGATGTTGTAACAGACCATTTTTCTGAAGAGGATTTGTAGAGTCAACTGAAAACATTGGAATTGCAGGTGATGTCCTGATACCTACCAAAATTACACTGTTGGTATTTAGGGAAGAGAGAAAATAGTCTCTAGGGCTTTAGACAAAGACTTGTATCTCCTCCCAGTAGAGAGTACTTAGTAAATGTTCCACTGGAACCTCTGTCCTTTCACGTTCCTACTTAGAGGTTACATGTGTAGAGAAAGTCATTCTTGCCTTAGAGTAAACTAGAAAGCTCAGCTGGGATTCACTTAAAATTCCCATAACCCCAAAATTCTTGTTTCAAGGCTTTTCAAAGCTAGGGAGATACTCCTTCTCTGAGCAGTACTTCGGGGTGTGCTCTCTTCCTGAAATGAACAACTTCAGAAAATGGTTGTCTAATCCATTCCCAGTCTCTGGGAAGACTATTCCATAGAACAGTCCAATGTCCAGCTTCAAGTTTAATCTTTCTCACAGAAAATAAATAAATAAATGGACAGATAAAATAAGCAATATGAGTATTTGCCACTTCGGACTAGTCCATTTCTACACAATTTCTCTATTTCAGCTGGAGCAAGCAGTTATGTACATTGTGCTTCCAAGTCTGGATCTTTAACTTGTAGTCACAAATACCTTCTCATGTTTTTTTTCAGATGATGGACAGATGTCTGTTCTTGCTTTCAGTACTTGGAAAGAGAAGAAAGACTTAAGCTGTAGCAAGGAAAATTTAAATTCAGCATCATGAAACTTTCTAACGTTAAGGATGGGAAATTGCTTAATAAATAGATTGCAGTGGAAAGTTGTGGAAATTCTTCCACTTCACATTATTAGGAATGATTTTGACAGTCTTGAACCTACCCTGAGGCATGCTGTGGTCCATGCCTTTCACTCTTAGGTATTAGTACTAGCTAGCTGGTTAGGTACCTAGGCCCTCTCAAAACCTTCCTATATGGCATGGCAAATTCCTAGGCATCTCAATTTTTATTTTCATATCTAAGCAGAAGCCTGTTGAAGACAGGCATTTGTACCTGCTGCCAGTGTAAGGTTAGAGGAAACTACCCCCAAAAGCCCCCAAATTTAATCACAGTGAAACTAAAATTAGCCAGATCGATTTCTAGTCTTGGTGTTACAAGAACTTCCCTGGAAAGCAGAAGGGGCTAAACATGAGAAAACTTTAACACTCTGGGATTTGACCACTCATGATTTGACCACTAAATGTTAGAATATCCTAAATGTTAAAGCGTTCTCGCTGCCCTGCTGGAGGTGCACCCAAGAATGCTGGGACACCTCATGGGGCAAGAAAGAGATTAGGCAAAGTAATCAGGCAGTCTGCGAGAGAGAATAGACATAGCTTCCGGAAGTGCTTCTCCCCAGCAGTCCAGAGTTCATTCATAGGCACTTTGGGTAGTTCTTGCTTAAGGAGAAAAGATATTTAACACATATTTCATATGTGGAAATACGCATCTCTATGAGGTGCACTCCTTTATTTCCAGCAAATGATGAGGCAAAAAGGTGATCCGCATTACTGGTCTACACCAAAGAAATATGGGATCAGCTGACACTGTAGAAATGAAAAAATAGAATTCCTCTTGCCTAAATGCCTAAACAAGTTAGGCTGAAAGCTTACCAATGAACCTGTTTCTACCCAGCTCCAGTCAGAAAACCGAAAGACATAAGAGAAGTGTTATGTGAGCAAAAGAAATTCAAAACCGGGGACCATGAATCTCATCTGAGACAAAGATTAAAGCAGTTTCTTTATGGTTTTTCTTCCTCAGGCACTGAAAGTAAAGACAATAAAGAACATACTGAAAGAACAAACCAGAGGCTTGGAAAGCAAAGCTTAGTTGCTAACAAGAAATGTTGCCTTTTAGACCTGTTTAGGTACAATCTTCTCTCAAAGTGAATAAAAACCAGTGCATTAGGGACCTATCTAAACTGATAGTCAGTGATGTCTGACCCTCGGGTAACGAGCTGTAGGGAACCATGGTCTGCTTATTCTAAGTGATAAACATTCTCCTCTCAACTCTGAGGAAATTCAGAAATGTTTCATTTGGAGTTTACAGTGTATTTCAAGAAAAAAAACACATCAAAGGAAGTACCAGTTGAAGCAAAGGACACTAGCATTTTAGGAATAGAGCTTGATCGTGAAGCCAATATGTTTCTAATGACAAGTCAGAAATTGTAAACATTGTTATAACGAATCTCTGAGAATCTCTCATAACTTGCTGTAACATTTCTGAAGACTAGCATTCATGTCAATCTGCTATCCATAGCAAAAAGCCCAACATGACTTTTTCTCTCTAGGCGATGACACCTATTAAATTCACATTTCAGATTCACATTTTCCTAGTTTCTTACGCTTCTCGCTGGAAGTATTTTGTTTGCTTAGCCTTGAATCAGTGATTTCTTCAGTAAGCAAAATGCATGGTGTTTCTCTAAGTAAAGCTTCCAAATCCAATGTCTTCTTCGTAATACAAAAGCCCTCTTCAAATACTTCAAAATAGTACTCTATCATTGCCTCCAAACATCACAAGGAGCTATAATTGTGACCTAGCCCACGAAGGAATAAATGTGCACGTAGCCATGGCATGCAAAATCTCCAGAACAGCTCTTCATATGAAAACAATGATGATTTATGGATGGGAAATCATGCATGTGTTTATGAGGAAAACCAGAAGGCAGGTGATCTCCCTCCAGAGTTCCTCAGACATTGGAAGATTAACAGTCTTTCTTATCCCTGCTAGTAGTTGATAGAAAGGTGGTGTGGCACAAAGTGATCCAATACCTTTGGGTTCCTTATTCCTGCATGGCAAATTAAGTCACTTTTTCTTCCCTGCCCCATTAAAACACTAATTTGGAGGGACTGAGAAAAGGGAGATTCTGCTCTATCTGTGACTTCCATTTCAGGAGCCCTATCCATCAGAAAGCCTGTCTCACTCTGGAAGGATGGTATTACATACGCTTACTCACTGTACTTTGAAAAGAAAAAGGGGTTTCCCTATAGCAATTCTCTGAATCTCATCTCGAGGTCTGTGGCAACGAGTTTGAGTAGAATAGCACTTTAAAGCATTTCTCTAGTTTGTATCTTTGGGCCTGAAAAGCTGCTAAAGGGCAGTTTTAAACCAGGCTGAAAGCAAAGCCCAAGCCTGCCCCTAGTCATCATGGACATAGGGAATACCCCATTCTGATACAATGGAGCCTAGAATAAAAATTTACAGGGGTAATTGAATTGGCCTTTTCCACAAAACATTTGAATATTTAAATCATTTGAAACCATTCCTATTTGATGTGCTGACAGATAAACTCTCCCTTTTTACATTCTAAGAAAAACAAACCCAGAGATTCTAAACCAATAACTCAATCAGTTATTAAAAACTATTCAACATATGATTTAATTAAGATAATAAATGTCAATCATCTTTCTCAATATATGATCATATAAAGACAGAAAATTATCTTTCTCTTACTCAGTGTTACAGCTCCTATACTAAGTTTTTTCTCAGTTGACTGTTAAAAATTCATGTCATAAAATTGTATTTATCTATACAAACAAACATTGAATTTATTTAAACAAGCATAGTATCTTTAGGCAAGGAAAAATTATTTCATAATTCTTTTGATAAAGACATTCCAATGAATGCATGTTAAGTATTAGCAAAAAAGAATTAACAAAAATTGCTGCATAAAAATTTAAAACTTGTTCCAGCCAAGACTCACTCATGTCTTTGCTTTGTACAGCTCTGCATCCCATGACAACCATTTCAAGACTGATTTTGGCATGGTTTATGTCTCAGTCTACTAAATGCTCATTAAATGCAAAGAAGATTTTTCAGTGAACTACTTGCAGCAAATAAAATTTAGTACATTCTCCAGAATATCAGGGCTTGAAGTTGACAGGACTGAAATGAGCATAGGTTTTCTTCCTTTCCACTGAAAGCACCACATCACAGAAGCAGAGAGCTAAAATTACCGGAGGCAATCAGCAGTACCCAACTCTAGTTATATTCTGTAATTCCAAAAACCAGATTATTGTCCTCTGTCCTGGTCTACATTATACAAGTGACGAACATAACCTTTAACTCATCCAAAGATTTTGGAGGTTCTGAAGCAGCTTAATTCTGTCTAACGAGATATTTAAACTTATAATGGCAAATCTACATCCTAATGCGGTGAATATCACAGGTGTTCAAACATCATGTTCACATTATGTCATTTAGGCACCAGAATACCTTAAAAAATGTGTGCCCAAATTCATGATTTCACGTTACAGCATTATTAGCTGCTGTAGGTTAAGATGTTTTTCAAATCTAAAATTTGATAATGCAAATATGTTGTAGCACCTGCTGGTTTTTACTAACCATGATTTTCTCCCCATTGCTCAGTCTTCCCCCGAGATGTCCTTCCTTGCAACAACAGAGAAGTTCCTTCAAGAGGAAGAGAAACATGCAAGAGAGTTTGAAAAACGTTTAAATTTGCGCCTTGAAGAACTGCAAAGACATTCTGAAAATACTCTAAAACGATATGCCTGGATACAGCAAAGCAGGCATACTTAAGCCAGTCACACAATTAAGAAAATAAAACTAAGTAATCACCCATGAGTTTCTGAGAACTAACATCTGGAACTAGCTGCTTAATGTATTTAGGCACATTGCCAACAGCATGGGTTTTTAACACCAAGGTTTCAATAAGATAATCATTATCCTATGGATTAGGTATACTGTATCTTGGCTATATTACAAAATACAATAAACACATTTTAAAATATAGAGGTTGGTTTTGCATAGTTAAATTGTGTGTAGCAGAGACCCTGTTGCAGCACCGTAAATTAAGAAAGATACTTTCAATTCTGCCATGTACAGAGGGCTAATAAGTGGAATTATTCCCCTGAAAATATAATCAGCCAAGAGAAATTCTCTAGATTGCACAGAAAATAATAGGGGCCTTTAGCCATGTCACAGCTCCCAGCATAAAGAGCTTATCTATGCTCTGGTTATTCTTGGCTATGGAAATAGCCCTTGGGACTCTTGAAATGAGAAGTCTGAGCTCTTTCTTTCTTACGCTCTAAGCTGTGCAGGTCCGTGAGGGGAACACAAACAGGCGAAGTGCAGTCTGAAGCTACCTGTATTGACCCTTTTACCAGACCCAAAGACTTCACTGGGGGCTGAGCCCGATCTCCGGTGCTTTACACGCTTTACATTAATATTTTACAATTTTTAAATCCTGTCTTCAGAAGCAGCTGTTTTGGTACTGATGTTTTGACACTGTGTTGGCCCGTTGTTTAACTACATTGGAATAGGGAAAAAACCTGTGACTTCAGACAACTGGCTTTAGGTAAGGGCCTAAATTCTTTATATTTTTCTATGAGATAAGGAAACATTATAAAGCTGAGCAGTGTTAGTTCATGTGCTGCAAAACTGCATAATGTTGAGATTCCTTTTATTTGCAATTCATACTGAATTCTATTGCTGCGCAAGCGAAACAGAAATTACAGACAGTGCTGATGAACCACCAATTTCAGTGAAAGAGATACTGAAGAGCTGCTTTCCAGCATCTACTGTTGCCAACTTCCTGGAAAAATCTGGATAAAAATAATACCAGACTGTCAAACAGCACCAGTTTGTGAGTAAAAGAAGTCCCATTAACATTCAAGACCACAGCAAAAATGTAAATTGTTTTTGGAAGCTGTATTTCCATTAAGACAAAATACACTACATCACACTTACACAAAATACCAAGATTTTAAATATCAGTTTGGCTCAGTTTGCAATGAAATGAGTAATGAAAATGAGGACATCAAAGAACCTTTTGCAGGAAAATTCAGGAAAATTACTAGACTCGGCTGGAGGAATGCAGACTGAATAAAGAGATGATGGAAGGACATCTGAACAAACTAAATATATATGCGTCCTCAACTTCAGGGGAGATGCACCTGCGAGTTTTAAAAGAACCAACGAAGAAATTTAGGAGCCTCTGGAACTGAAGCTAAATTTTAAGCTGGGAAAGATCTGTAGAAGCAAAAAAGACAGCAAAATGTTGTCTTTCAGAAGGGCAAGAGAACAAAAATACAGGATATTAGGCAGTTAGCCAGATTCTTTTGCCACTGCAGGATTTAAACAGACAAGAAGACAGTGTGCTCCAGATCTTCACAGAAATGTAGAGCGCTCAGCCCAGTCCAGGCCTGCGGACCCCTCTGGTGATGCAGGTCTGTGTGACGACACAGAATGAATGGATGAAATTATCAAAAAACAAGTAAGATTTTTTTTTCTAAAGCTTTTGAAGATCTGGCCAAGCTACTAACTGTGGCGAACGAAACAACAGAGTTCGCTTCAGCCTGGCTTCTGCGTAACGCCATGTAATAAACTCCCCGTGACAAGCACCGAATGCGGCAGAGTACCTGTCTCTGAACAGCCTGCTTGCTTACGGTTGTTTCCTGAGACAGTACAGATCAAAGCGCCATTTTTCAACACATACTCACCTGCAAGGTCACCCTCCTCCTCGCCAGCCACATCAGCAGAAGGGCCTCATCTGACAAGAGCCCGCTGCCGCCAGACACAGTCAGGGCCACACCGCTGGTTCTAAATGCTTCAGCTGTGTGAAGAGGCAGAGACTGGATTGAACTAGTGAGAGGTTTCTGAGGGAAAATAAATATTCCTGATGTGATCACGCCAAAAATAGTGTGTAAAACACGTACCGCATTTCAAGATATTTGGAAAACTTTTTAAAAGATGATGGACAGCAGAAATAACAAAGACTGAGGAATTATATACCTTATGAATGGGGATTGGAGATGTGTGTATATTGTCAAGAAAGGAATAATCAGGAGGGTCCAAGGCGATAAATGTCTGAAAGCACCAATAAAAATGAAAAAAAATGGCTTATTAATCGTAAGTTCACTTGACAGGACAAGGCGCAATGTTCAGGAGTTACGGATTACCCCAAAACAAACAGAAAATTTCTATTCCACTTTGTGAATAGCCAGGCAATGGAAAATTCTTACAAGCTGCTGGGCTTCTTTTACGATTTTTCAAAGCTTTACCAAAAAGGGTTTTTTTGGCTCCCAGTTGAAAGACTTGTTTTAAATAAACAGAACAATGGCTCAGGCTCCCACCAGCTTTTTTCGCTGAAGGAAAAACAGAGGTCATGTATACACAGTAGCCAGTGTGTTTCATCGAGATATAATTTTGAAGTAGTTGGTGGTGAAAGAGCTGCCAGACCACTGCCGCCCAGTTCGCCTCCCAAAACTCTGTCTGATGGGGCTGTCGGTGAAACGACGGTGACTGAACAGTAGCATTTAAAAGTGGCTCACATGAAAGGTGTTTATTTAGCGCATTTTCTTCCTACCATTTTTTACCCTCTTCTTTTTTGTATGGGAAACGTAGGAGTACAGGAGTGGGAGAGTGCCAGGGAGGTGGCAGGCGCTCTGAACACCACCAGCGGGGATGAGAAAGAAGCCAGCAACTGTCAGACAAGATGAGCCCCAGGTTCTTGTGCGTCTCCAGTTACGTCACGCCAGCCATCGCAGTGAGCTCATCACCCGGCCAGCTCAGCTCTCTGCCGAGCTCCAGTCAGCCCCGCTGCTTTCTGCCCCTGGGTCTCCCAGACACCAACCCACAGGAAGGAGGGAGAGGGCACAGGGGGAAAGTCCTTTCCCTGGATTATTCAGAAAAAACTGGCTGCCCATGGTTTGGATGGGTGTACTCTTGGCTGGATAAAGAACTGGCTGAATGGCCGAGTGCAGAGAGTGGTGGTGAATGGAGTTAAATCCAGCTGGTGGCCAGTCACGAGTGGTGTTCCCCAGGGCTCAGTTTTGGATCCGGTCCTGTTTAACATCTTTATCAATGATCTGGATGAGGGCATTGAGTGCTCCCTCAGTAAGTTTGCAGATGACACCAAGCTGGGTGGGAGTGTTGATCTGCTTGAGGGTCAGAAGGCACAGCCAGCTGAACATGAGCCAGCAGTGTGCCAAGGTGGCCAAGAAGGCCAAGGGCATCCTGGCTTGGATCAGGAATGGTGTGGCCAGCAGGAACAGGGAGGTGATCGTGCCCCTGTACTCGGCACTGGTGAGGCTGCACCTGGAGCACTGTGTTCAGTTTTGGGCCCCTCACTACAAGAAGGACATTGAGGTGCTGGAGCGTGTCCAGAGAAGGGCAATGAGGCTGGTGAGGGGTATGGAGAACAAGTCTTACGAGGAGCGTCTGAGGGAGCTGGGGCTGTTTATTCTGGAGAAGAGGAGGCTGAGGGGGGACCTTATCGCTCTCTACAACTACCTGGAAGGAGGTTGTAGTGGGGAAGGTGTTGATCTCTTCTCCCAGGTAACTAGCGATAGGACGAGAGGCAATGGCCTCAAGTTGCATCAGGGGAGGTTCATATTGGATATTAGGAAAAATTTCTTTACTGAAATAGTGGTCAGGCATTGGAACAGGCTGCCCAGGGAGGTGGTGGAGTCCCCATTCCTGGAGGTGTTTAAAAAAGACGTGTAGATATGGCACTTCAGGATATGATTTAGTAGGAACGGTGGTGTTGGGTGGATGGTTGGACTTGATGATCTTAGAGGTCTTTTCCAACCTACAATTCTATGATTCTCTGGGATTACCTTCCCAACTGGCTTTACAACCTACAGCACCCCATTACATCACCCACAATCATTTTTTTTTCCATTTAATTCTTTGCAAAATAACTAATCACTAGATTTTACACCAGCTGCCTTGTGCTAGGGAAGTGTTTTTCTTCTCAGACACAGCAGTCTGCTGACAAAACGCGCGGTTAAAGATCATTCATAACAGAGATCATCTGAATTGGCCAAACCAATGTGGGAGCTGTGTGTTGTTTTTTCCTCGCTCTAGGGCTCAGATCTCAAAGTTCACTGTGTCTGAGTTACTATTTAATCACATGGACACCCTCAAATCCATAAATAGGCTGTAATTTACTGTACTGCATCTAAATTTCCACTAGTGGATTGAGCAATGGCCCTTAGACACTGATACACTGCACTCCAGTCTCCCTTCCCAAACCAACAAACTGGTCCGTTTGTCCCTCTGATCTACTCCTGACCAAAATGCTAGGGGCTTTGAAACAGATTTGTCGGCACGTGCTTGCCCATTACCTTACGAGAACACGTCTGCGTGCAGAGAACAGTCCTAAACCACCCCGTCAGTGCACGTCCTGCCGCAGGTGCAGGATTACTTGACGTGAACCCTTGTACAATCCCAGATGGAGCAAGAAATCCTACAGAAGTCCTGGTCCTTGGTATCCCCCGAAGCACCAGAACAGGCGTTTTTTCGGCTGAAGCGCACAGAAGGCGTCTGCTAACAGCTCCATCTGCAGCGATGACGCAGCCGCCCGGCTGGGCCGAGGATGGCGGGGCTCGGCTTCGCGGGTGCGCAGCGTGTCAGTCGGGACTGCCGGCCCTGGTACGAAATGGCATCCCTGTGGCACAGGTCCAAACCCAGAGAATCAAAGCGCAGGCTCTAGTTCCCAGCGTCCAGAGCTACGGGCGCGTGCCAGCCCGCACACGACTGAAAAAAGAACGATGCGTTTGCTCTGCCATATGTCT